TCTGTTGGAGGCAATATTGAATGGACAGCAGGCCAGCTCACAGAATCAAAGGAAAAGATGACCAACTAATATAAGCCATGGCAAAGTAGACAACCGAGGTGCCCCAGGGACCCTAAGGCCTCAAACCAGAATGCTGAGCCCCACTGAGACTGTGGGCCTTTGGTCTCTGCTCCCCATGGCATGTTGGCCTCATGCTCTCCTACCACAGTCTTTCTTTGTAGTGAGGGACCACTGCTTCCAGCAGCTTCCAGTGACACAGACTGTTGATCCCACCACCTAAAAGGAAAAGGCTGTTTTCTGAGGAAGGACTCTGAATGGTCAAAAACAGGCTGTAGACCAACCTCTGTGACCAGGGTAGTGGGGATTACTACTGGTCATGATTGGTTTGATTTGAACTATGTGCTCACCCTTCAACCTATCACCAGGGGCAGGATATGGGATCGACTAAGAAGGCAGTGGTTCCATTCAACCAGAAGTTGGGAGTGGATTGAAGAAGGGCAGTTGAAGCTAGAAAAAAATGCGTTTTTGGAGCAGAAGAAGGGAGAAATGCTGGGCAAGCCAAATGATTACTGTATGCTACATGAGCATAAATGGCCGCTAAACATTTTTTAAAGCTATTTTCATTGTGTGTATGTGTATTTAAGTGCCAAGAATGTGTTAAGAAGGATATTTTCTGAAACATTTATTATCATTAAAAATTGTAATAGTACAGATAAGCAATTATAGTTAACATCTACTGATTTTTTTCTTCTTGAATTTTCCCCTATTTTTCCTCTGGGAACATTGCACCCAATCTCTCATCTCAGCTGAACCAATCATATATCACCTTATTTCCTGTGACCACAATTGGGCCTAAATGGTGGGTGTGTGATCAACATGAACCAATCAAGGTCTTGGCCCAGAAAAGCCTTTTTTTTTTTTTTAAGTAATAAGGCTGTGGGGCTGTGACTCCAGCAGCCTTTTTCACCTGGAGTTGTTACAAAAGACTCATTTCCTGTCAGGTTAGGAAGTTGCTGGGAGAGGATCTAGAGCTGCCAATTTTGCCTCCAACTCAGGGGGCTAAAGCTAGTCCATGAATGAAGTTGTTTATGCTGAAATAAGCAAACATGAACATGAAGAGACAAGCAGTCTTAATGCATTAGAGTCCCTGGTACTAGGCACCCTCTGAGGCTAATGCCACCTCTACCCTCCAGCTCTTCTGCAAATATGACTAAATGGGACAATTTCTTCTTTACCTAAGGCTAGCTTGAGTTGGGATTCCTCCAGTTTCAGCCACAAGACTCCTAATAATATAAATATAAATCAATAGAGAAGGCTAACTTATGGCACAATAATAAAATTCTATGCAGCTTTTAAAAGAACTACATATATTGATGTTAAAAACCCAAATATAAGGAGAAAAGTAAGTTTACAGACAGGGTGAATTTCTGTATGTGTGTGATTTTATATGTACCAACATATGTAGGGAGACTATGTTCCAAAAGGTTATTGGTCACCTCTGGAGGCTGCTATGGGCAAGACTTTCATCTTTATATATACTTCTGTGTATTTTTAGTTTTCCTAAAATTTTATACTTTTTTTTCTATTATACTTTTATAAAACTTTTAAGCCAAAAATAACTACAGACATAATGTAGTTGTGGCACATTTATGTTATACAACTTCCTACTTTATTGCCTCTATTCTGTTAGAGGTCTGGGTATTTGGAGACCAGGCTTCTAGGCCACAAAAAATACGTGTTTGGCATGTATTCTATAACCTTTGGCAAGTTGGCTTGCCTCTGTGGGCCTCAGTTTCGTCCTTCCTAAGAGGGGTACGTGAAGTAACAGTAGCTACTATTTCAGTAGTGTCCATGGACCAAGTGCTGTGCTAAGCAGTTTCCTCACAGCTGCTCCATGAGTTGAGCATGATCCTTCTTTTCCAGATAAGAAACAGAAGCCCAAGTAAATATTGGAATCAGAATTCAATTCATGTTAAGCCCACTCCCCAAAGCCATGTTCTTTTTACTATATACTCTCCCAGCCACCTCCTGCCTCATGTCTCAATTTTCTGGCCCCAGAATTCAGTTAAACCCAAGACTCAACTCAAAATCCTCTACCTGGACAACACTATCTTTCTTTATAACCTTTGGCAAGTTGGCTTGCCTCTGTGGGCCTCAGTTTCGTCCTTCCTAAGAGGGGTACTTGAAGTAACAGTAGCTACTATTTCAGTAGTGTCCATGGACCAAGTGCTGTGCTAAGCAGTTTCCTCACAGCAGCTCCATGAGTTGAGCATGATCCTTCTTTTCCAGATAAGAAACAGAAGCCCAAGTAAATATTGGAATCAGAATTCAAATTCATGTTAAGCCCACTCCCCAAAGCCATGTTCTTTTTACTGTATACTCTCCCAGCCACCTCCTGCCTCATGTCTCAATTTTCTGGCCCCAGAATTCAGTTAAACCCAAGACTCAACTCAAAATCCTCTACCTGGACAACACTATCTTTCTCAATTAACTTTTGGTCACTTTTATTATTGCTACATCTGTATGTATGTTGCATCGTACTTGAAGACAGGATGTCTCAGCACTATTGTACAGGAGCCAGTGACCAGAACCGTCCCAAACAAAAAGAAATGCAAGAGGGCAAAGTGACTGTCTGAGGAGGCCTTACTAATAGCCGAGAAAAGAAGAGGAGGGAAAGACAAAGAAGAAAGGGAAAGATATACCCAACTCAATGCAGAGTTCCAGAGAGCAGCAAGGGAGAGAAGAAAGCCTTCTTAAGTGAAAAACGCAAAGAAACAGAGGAAAACAATAGGATGGGAAAGACTAGAGATTTTTTCAAGAAAATTGGGAGATACCAAGGGGACATGTTATGCAAAGATGGGCTCAATAAAGGACAGAAATGACAAGGACCTAACAGAAGCAGAAGAGATTAAGAAGAGGTAGCAAGAATATACAGATGAACTGTACAAAAAAAGGTGTTAATGACATGGATAACCATGATAGTGTGATCACTCACCTACAGCCAGACATCCTGGAGTGTTGAAATCAAGTGGGCCTTAGGAAGCATCATTATGAACAAAGCTAGTGGAGGTGATGGAATTCCAGTTGAGCTATTTCAAATCCTAAAAGATGATGCTGTGAAACTGCTGCACTCAATATGCCAGCAAATTTGGAAAATTCAGCAGTCACCACAGGACTGGAAAAGGTCAATCCAAAAAAAGGGCAATGCCAAAGAATGTTCAAACTACTGCGCAATTGCACTCATTTCACATGCTAGCAAGATCATGCTCAAAATCCTTCAAGCTAGGCTTCAACAGTATGAACTGAAAACTTCCAGATGTTCAAGGTGGATTCAGAAAAGGCAGAGGAACCTGAGATCAAATCGCCAACACCTGCTGGATCATGGAAGAAGCAAGAGAATTTCAGAAAAACATCTACTTCTGCTCATTGACTACACTAAAGCCTTTGTGTGGATCACAACAAACTGTGGAAAATTCTTCAAGAGATGGGACTACAGGACCATCTTACCTGCCTCCTGAGAAATCTGTATGCAGGTCAAGAAGCAACAGAGCTGGACATGGAACAACTAAGTGGTTTCAAATTGGGAAAGGAGTATGTCAAGGCTGTATACTGTCACCCGGCTTATTTAACTTATATGCAAAGTACATCATGCAAAATACTGGACTGGATGAAACACAAGCTGGAATCAAGATCGCAGGGAGAAATACCAATAACCTCAGATACACAGATGACACCACCTTATGGCAGAAAGCGGAGAGGAACTAAGAGCATCTTGATGAAGGTGAAAGAGGAGAGCAAAAAAAACTGGCTTAAATCTCAGAATTCAAAAAACTAAGATGATGGCATCTGGTCCCATCACTTCATGGCAAATAGATGGGGAAACAATGGAAACAGACAGACTTTATCTTCTTGGGCTCCAAAATCACTGCAGATGGTGACTGCAGCCATGAAATTAAAAGACAGTTGCTCCTTGGAAGAAAAGCTATGACAAACCTAGACAACATATTGAAAAGCAGAGATGATATTTTACTGATAAAGGTCCCTCTAGTCAAAGCTATGGTTTTTCCAGTAGTCATGTATGGATGTGATTATTGGACCATAAAGAAAGCTGAGTGCCAAAGAATTGATGCTTTCGAATTGTGGTACTGGAGAAGACTCTTGAGAGTCCTTTGGACAACAAGGAGATCAAACCAGTCAATCCTAAAAGAAATCAACCATGAATACTCATTGGAAGGACTAATGCTGAAGCTGAAGCTCCAATACTAGGGTCACCTGACACGAAGAGGTGACTCATTGGAAAGGCCCTGATGCTGGGAAAGATCAAAGGCCAGAGAAGGTGACGACAAAGGATGAGATGATTGGATGGCCTCACCGACTCAATGGGCATGAGTTTGAGCAAACTCTGGGAGCTAAGGACAGGGAAGCCTGGTATGCTGCAGTCCATGGGGTTGCAAAGAGTCGGCCATAAGTTAGCGACTGAACAACTGATATTTTGGACTGAAAATTTCTTTGTTGTGGGAGCTGGATATGTGTGGCAGCATCCCTGGCTTCTGCCCACTAGATGTCAGGATCATCTACCATTCAAGTTGTGACACCCAAAATGCCTGTATAGTTCCAAAGGTCCTCTGGGGAAAATTCACCCAGGGTTCAGAATCACTGCTCTCAAAGAAGGGAAAAAGCAATTTCCTGCATTAACCCTGAAGGAAAATTGTACTGAAAGGAGATTATGTTTTTGTATTTTGTACCTTGTATTTTTACCTTTGTGATTCTTTTTGACTTTACCAACTCTGGCTAAAGTCAGCTCCAGTATACATATTATTTGCTCTGTGCAGAATGCTGTACCAGCTACACCTACATTGTACTTTCAAGATTTAGAAGAATGTGGAAGAATAAACCTTGCCTTCTCAAAAATGACCAGTTCTCCCTTAGTGAAATTCACCCTTGCTTGAGAGGAAAAGGTCCACATGAGGCTGCTGAGTGAGAATGGACAGTCGATAGTGAACAGTGGTGATTAAATACAGTGCTGATTTTATTCCAACTAAATTAAGCAATGCATAGGTCATCTGGGCAATAAGCTTAACTAAAAGGATAAAAGCCAAAAATGAGGATTTTGTAGTTGTTTTATCAATCACTGTCCTCTTACACAACTCATCTCAGAAAATCTCATGCAAAGAAATACAGGAAAAAAGAAAAGCGGGAAATGCACACATTAGTGTGCAGTGGAAGGTGCTTTCTCCAATTCCTCTTCTGTGAACTTCTCCATCAGCATGGTCCACTTCGGATTATTTTAATATCATGACCATCATCCCTGCAAATTGAACAACCATAAAAACACACATTTATTATTAAGTCCCCCCTCGCCCCCCACAACTGTCCTGAGTTCTTGTGGCTGGACTAAAAATAAAATGAACCTAAGACAGATTCCCAGGAAGAAAAACAATTTTAATTCTTGTGCATGGAGGTCTCATAGAAATGAGACTTAATAAGTGACCAAAGCAGAGAGCTTTTATACTTTATTTAGACAAATAATACATTTGTGAGGAATTAAAGAGGACAAAGAAACTTAGGCTTTGGCTGCTTAAAACTAGTAAAGAATCTATAAACAGTTTCTGCTTACGGTAGTAAATAACAAAAACTTCAAAGACCATGAACAGGGCTAAAATCTGTTTTATAGAGTATATTATAGTTTCCTGCTGAAAGATAATTTTCTTTCTACAATTATTACCAAAGATGGCCAAAGCAGACTAATTTTTTCATAAAATAAGTCTAGATTCAATAAACTTGGCCTGGTTGTTTACGTAAGTACAGCAAGAATAGTGATTGACCACATAGACTCTCTTAAATCTGCTTTGCAGGAACTTTTTATGAGGAACTTCAGATTGAATCTTTAATAGCCTCTCAAGGATAAGAAGCCAAGCCAAGCGTTCACCAACCGACTTTGTCTGCAATAGATATAGATTTGGGTGAATTCCTCTCTTCACACAAGTCTCCAAAGTACACTGTTTCCTAAAGGTCCCAGGAAATGACCTTCCTTACTTACCTGGTAAAGCTGCTGGGAAACCTGAAAGTAAGATTCTAGGCTGTTTTTCCAAAGGGCTTTATTGGCTCCATAAAGTCAACCTTGGTTCCTCAAAGCTCTCTGGTCATATCTGAGTCTATGCATGTCTCTCTCCAATATGACATTCCAGTCAAAGCTTTGATACTACAATCAGTGTTTCCAATTGTGTTCTGAGAAAAGCAGATTCTTACTGAACTTATGCAAATAACTACATTGCCAAGAAAATAAGAATACTCACTGAGAGTTTCTGACTGCTGAAGGGATCCAGTAGAGAGAAAAAGAAATGTTTCAGTGCTGCTTACAAATGTATAGTGGACCAAATTGCTCTAAGTCCTAGTTAGCTTAAGAGAAAAGACAAAAAACTTTCTTTAAATCTGGAGAAAACATTTTTAAAACTCAGCAATGTTTCAGATTTTAATAAATAATAAAAAATTATAATTATCTTCCTCAGTTTATTTAATCTTGTAGTGAATTCTTGTTCCACTTGATCTTCTGTTAAAAAATTTTTGAAGCCATCAATTTCTCCATTAGGGTTCTGTAAATTCTTATCCAGGTATGATTTTAAAGTCATCAGACACCTATATTCTAGAATATTTGTTTGATTTCTTTCCATGAATTTCCCTGAAAATAAAACACATTTGCCGAAAGCCTTTGTAGAAGCATCTGAGTAAAACAGTTCAGTTCAGTTCAGTCGCTCAGTCATGTCCAACTGTTAGCAACCCCATGAATTGCAGCACGCCAGGCCTCCCTGTCCATCACCAACTCCTGGAGTTTATTCAAACTCATGTCCGTCGAGTCGGTGATGCCATCTAGCCATCTCATCCTCTGTTGTCCCCTTCTTTTCCTGCCCCCAAGTAAAAGAGTAACTGTGTGTAAATGATAAATGAGTTTAAAATGTCCACTATTGAAGATATGATTCATTATAATGGAATTGATAAGAAAATTTGGTTATCTCTAAGACATATCATTTTAAGATAGTAACTAGAATTATGGCTAACATATAATGACATATCCAAAGTTTAGGGATTTCATTTATTTTCTAGAACATTTATGTTAATAACATTTATCCATATGATACAACCTAAGAAGGTTTATCATTTACTTGATAAATGTTTCCTATGTAAGTTAACATAAAAAAGAAGCCTAATTAGTTTAATAGCTCTTTTATAAGGACAGAAAATAAATTTTTGAGGTATCCAGGGGCCCTGTGGAAAACCCCAAAGTCATTTCCAGTTCAATAAGAGTTGATTTGGAATTTGCAGAATTTGTCAAAAATATCAAACATTTTTGAAACACTTGGTCAAATAGGACCATTGGTCACTGTGAAACAATATTTAGCTATCCATATAATCAGTGACAAACAGGTCCCTGGCAAATACAGAAAGCTAAATAGTTGTAAAAAACTTTAGTTCTTTTAATATTGAAAGACTTAGGAGTTTTTTTGTGGGTGTCTTCTAAGTGATCAGAAACCTGATAAAGACAAAATATAGAATCTGGATTTCTAGACAGATATATTAAAGGTAAAGAAAACTTTTTTCTTTTACAATTTCTTATTAAGACTAGACCAACAATCTAAGAGAACTTTGTACTTTTGAACAAGAAAACTTTTTAACAGAGATAAACACCAAATTTTAACTTTGTACCAGTTTACTTTTGATATTCCTTTACTTAATTAAACTCATTCCAGGCTTAGTTCTGATCACACATAAAATTCCTTAAGATTATTTTTTCATAAACCTTTTGCAATTTTCTGTGTTCATTTTATTTGTCCCCTCTTTTCTTTCCCATTTAGAAATAGCCAGCTTTAGGACAAAATCTCTTTCCTTTTCCTTAACAAAGGCACCTGTTTACCTTTTCTTAGCCCAAAACACAATACTTTTTTTTCATTTCTGGGACCTTTAACTGCGTATATTAATTAGAATTATTAATCCTTTGAAATCTAAATTTTTGGAGGGAATAAAGAAGTAAACAACTGTGAACCATATTTTGTGACTTGGCAAACTTATAAATACATTTCATAATTTCTAGAAATAAATGAATTGTCAATAAAGCACAAGAGGGACCTCCCTGGTGGTCCAGTGATTTAAAAAACTTTAGTTCTTTTAATATTGAAAGACTTAGGAGTTTTTTTGTGGGTGTCTTCTAAGTGATCAGAAACCTGATAAAGACAAAATATAGAATCTGGATTTCTAGACAGATATATTAAAGGTAAAGAAAACTTTTTTCTTTTACAATTTCTTATTAAGACTAGACCAACAATCTAAGAGAACTTTGTACTTTTGAACAAGAAAACTTTTTAACAGAGATAAACACCAAATTTTAATTTTGTACCAGTTTACTTTTGATATTCCTTTACTTAATTAAACTCATTCCAGGCTTAGTCCTGATCACACATAAAATTCCTTAAGATTACTTTTTCATAAACCTTTTGCAATTTTCTGTGTTCATTTTATTTGTCCCCTCTTTTCTTTCCCATTTAGAAATAGTCAGCTTTAGGACAAAATCTCTTTCCTTTTCCTTAACAAAGGCACCTGTTTACCTTTTCTTAGCCCAAAACACAATACTTTTTTTTCATTTCTTTGACCTTTAACTGCATATATTAATTAGAATTATTAATCCTTTGAAATCTAAATTTTTGGAGGGAATAAAGAAGTAAACAACTGTGAACCATATTTTGTGACTTGGCAAACTTATAAATACATTTCATAATTTCTAGAAATAAATGAATTGTCAATAAAGCACAAGAGGGACCTCCCTGGTGGTCCAGTGATTTAAGAATCCTCCTTGCAATGCCGAGAACATGGGTTCAATCCCTGGTTGGGAAACTAAGATCCCACAGGCCACAGAGTAACTAAGCCCACAGCTGCTGAGCCTGCATGCTCTGGAGTCCAAACACCACAACTAGGGAGCCCGTGTGCCGCAACTGGAGAGTCTGTGCACTGCAACGAAAGATCGCATGGTGCAACGAAGATCCCACACGCTGCAACATTTATTTTTTGGAAATGATAAGATATCCAATGATCTCCCATCATTTAACTTAACAAACTCTAAGGGTGTAAATTAAATTACCGAAGAATTTATAAAATTAAGTTCACTCACTGAGATGGCTAACATCTTTTATTATTTGTGGGAAAGACTTAAGCTCTGTATTTGCCCTTGACAAGCAGCTGTAGAGGGGTGTGATTAACTCGAATTTGGACACGAGATCCTTTCAGCAGTTTGTGTTTTAAAAGGCATCTTTCCTTCTTTTTCGGTTTCGGGTTCTGCCAATTTAGCCAATCGAAGCTTAGTCTGAGGCAAGGTGCGCTGTGTTTACATATCAAAGACATGACCATATTTATAACCTTTAAGGGCAAAGAAAGGCCTTTTAAGGTCAGTTTTCTCGTAGGAGTTTTGGATTACATTTATCTATTATTATAAGTCTTAGGGTAATTATTATTTTAAAATAATTTTTAAAGTACAGGACAGTTTTGCTCCAATATTGTGATCTTCTCTAATATCTAGAAGGCATTTTAAGAGGAACAGGTAAGCTTTTGGGAATGGTAAAAACAAGTGGGTCTTGATTTGTTTCTACCGTTGCATTTCTGATTTTGTAGTTTTGCAAGACAAAAAAAATTTGTTCCTATTAGCCCTTGATAATTGTTTGTATTAAGCTTCCAGCTAATCTACTTCCTGGTTATTCCTAGGAGGGCCTGAGGGATTGTAGAGGAGGCGGGCAATTTTTTTTAAAGGGGAATTTATGTTGGATCTTACTTTTAAGTCTAATTTCTGTTTTTTCATCTTAATAAGGGACTCTCTAAGGCTCACCATTATAGTCTATTTGTCCTTTCAATTTGTTCCCCCCATAAGTACCAATGTAACAGTTATTTACGATGAGAGCTTTCAAATTTTTTTCCTTTTAAATACAACCTGCTTAAAGGATCTTTTGACCTATGGCTGATTAATGTATGGCAGAGACCAACACAATACTGTAAAGCAATTATCCTCCAATTTAAAATAAAGTTTTTTTTTTTTAAAAAGGATCCTTTGTCCATTGATGAGTAGGACTTTATATTAATTTCAAATACAGACTCAAACCAGTAAGCCTTTTTTATGGCTTAACAAAAGATAAAAAGGTGTTTCCAAGGATAGAGCTCTCACATGATTAGAAAGTTCACTCCCATGGATAGTCTAAGAAAATAAGGCAATGAAAGCTGAGACAACAGCCCATTATGGATAGGGACCCCATGACCAACTCCCCTAAGAGCTGGTATGGCCGGACAAAGAGAGTGCTGCTTTTGTGTCTCAGAACTCAAGTCTAGTCAACTGGCCACCAGACACACCTTTCAAATGGCAGAGCTCTCAGAACATAAAACAAGACGGAATAACACACCTCATGTGGTTTTATGTGGAAGACCCACAGGAAGGTCTGTTTAAGTAGATGCAGGTCTGGTCTGTTTAAGTAGATGTAGGTCTGGTGAGAACCAGTCTGTGAGACCGACTCAAACAACAGGCTCACAGGGCCTGTGCCTGCCGGCTGCCCTGTGGTTCTTCTTTCTTATGGCAGACAACACAACAGACAGAGACAAAAAGCAGTGACCATCTCTGAGAAGAAAGGAATTACCAAGAGTTACTAAATACAAGGAGCTAACTTGACAAATATTTTCTCCTGCTAATCTAAATTTAGAGAGGAAATAAGGAACTCTCGCCAACTTCCCCTTCCACCAGGCTTTGCAGGGAGAGATCCAGGAAGCTGAGGCGGTAAGAAATCTTACCTTCTGCTGGTCTTTATCAGAGGGCCCAGGATCTCTCAGCTGCAGGAGCCTCAGGGCGGGAAGCGGCTTCCAGCCAGGCTCCTCCTGGCTCACCAACTGTCAGGGTGAAAGAAATTTCCCCCTCTACCCTCTTGAGTTCTTGTGGCTGGACTAATAATAAAATAGACACAAGACAGATTAACAGGAGAAAAAGAAAAATTTTTATTCAGGGTGCACAGAGGTCTGATGGAAATGGGACCTAATAAATGACCAAAACAGGCAACTTCTATTCTTTTTAGACAAAAAAAGCAATACATTTGTGAGGAATTGATAAGACAAAGAAACTTAGGCTTTGGGTACTTAATAAGTGAAGAATCTGTACAGAGTTTTGGCTTGGGGTAGTAAATTTAAAAAGTAACAAAGTGTGTTTATACAGGCTTTTTAGCTTTAAATTCCCAATCTCTGATATAAGAGTGTACCTTCAGAGGCAGGAAGTGCATCTTTCACATGACATTAATTTCCTGCTTTCAGGGAGAGAGGCAGAAGGGTCAAAGCATCCCTCATGCATTGGCTTTTTCTTAAGCAACTTTAATACACAATATTTAATA